ATATTCTTAGCTTTCTTAGCACACTAAAGTGCTTTTATTAACACTTGAATTTACAAAAAAAAACGTTTTTAGTTTGATTGATGTTTTGTTTTGTTGGAAATTCACACATTGACTAAACTGCTGCTAATGAAAGATTAACCTACAATAGTTAAGAAAAACCTCAAATCTGACAAAAGTAATAATAAGAAAATTCTATTAATATGAATAGAATGGGTCATTATCTGGGCCTTGATGACTGGCCTGATTATTCATTTCATTGACCTGCCTATCTCATCTGAACCACCTGCTCCCGCCTCTATTTGACATGCCGTCTTCCAGTCATCAGCGCCATGTTATGCGAGCCCTTGGTGAGAGTCTTCTAGCCTACCTGTGTTGTCTGATTCTGACCCATTCTGCCTTTGGACCCATGAGCCTCCCTGTTCCCATTCTGATCTGTTTGTCTGACCTGTCCTTGGACTTCTGCTTCTGCAACCTAAGCACGTCCTCGTCACCGGCTTTGGCTTCACCCTCTAGATTATCCTTCCTTCATCGGCTCGGCTCTGACCTCCGGGGCTTCTGAGTCCCTCTGGGCAACAACCGTTGCTTCATGTTGGCAGCCGACCGGGTGGAACCAACCTCATCCTCTGGTCACGGACTGAACACCCTCCGTCAGATTAACGTGGTCTTGACAGGATGAAAGTCAGACACTGATTTTCAGCCAAAAAGTTATTTAGAATAATAAACTGATGAAACAGACCAGTAGTAAAATAATAGAAGGATGTGAAACCAAGGTGTGTCCACCAATCAGCATCACAGGTCTCTGCAGTCTAGCAACCAGGCAGTGGGCCTATATATAAGGCTACAGGTGGACACTGTTTGGTGACGTGGTGCGTCTCACACTCAACATGGACCAGAGAAGGAAAGAGTTGTCTGAGGAGATTAGATAGAACATGCTAGAGCTGCATGTTGAAGCTAAAGGCTATCAGAGCGTCTCCAAGCAGCTGATGTTCCTACATGTAGGATCCATGGACTGTGACCAACATCCCTGGATGCTGCAGGACAACTAATCAGAGAGACGGATGATAGGAATGGAGACTACAGAGACACTTCTGCACAGATTAAAGGAGAACTTCAGGCTGATGGAAGATGATAAAGGACCATTCTAGGTTGCTAAGTCGGCTGCTCGGTCAGCTCGGTTTTCAGGGTGTTTGCGTCTCATGAACCTCCTCATGTGTCCAGAGATCCAGCAATACCATCCTCTACCTCAAAGGAAATCCCTTCAGTTTCCTGGTGGCTGTTTAAATTTGGCGAATGTTTAATCGCCTCTTTGATCAGTTCCCTGCCATAAATGTTAGCAGTATAAATCCTATTCTTTGGTGAAAATAAGCAAACCGTTAATGGAGATGAAAAAGTTTTCAGTTCAATAAAAGCTAGACCTCAAACAGAAACACTAGAAATATCTTTTTATGGACGCTGCTTTTGAAACATCTCTTTACAAAGTAAACAAAGCAGAAAACCTCAGTTTTGCAAAATATCAACATTATTGTGGACAGAGCCTAAAAGCTTTTTAATAAATCAATTCTACAGCCACTATTCATGCTGGTGCATAACAGCTTTCAGGAAGCGTGTGCAGAATGTATCCGTGGCGGAAAGATGAACGCCGCCATCGGAGAACATTAACTTTGAGAAAGTTTTGCAGAGTCTGACAGCGGCTGAAGAGTCCTCGTCCCTGACTGATTCATCCACGTTATTTCGCAGCTAGTTGAACCCTCACCGCTGCCACGCTGAGGGCACTCCAGAAAAGTCGAGGAGATGTTCTCACATTTTAGGGCACAGTGCCGAGAGGCATTAGAGAGCTGAGTGACATGTTGATTCAGTTAGGAGGGGGTGAGGTGTTCGCTGAAAGTCAAGGAAAATTTACTTTGAGGGAATAAGGAGAGAGCTTAGACCTGATTTTTTTTTTTATCAAGGTGAGAAACACCAGGGAAGATTCTCACACCTTTTTCTTCCAGCCTTGGACAGATGGCACCCTGGGGTTTCTTGATGGAGCTGGCAGGATCTGAGCAGCAGAGTTGGACGTTAGTTAACATTCATTTCTCAGCCGCTCTGCAGGACGGTCAGGTGGGAAGGTAAATCCCCAACCTGACTTCTGTCACGTGTCAAAACTCAATCCTTCCTTTATCTCTGAGACCCTTGCTTTTTAAATATCCTTTAAACTTCTTTATAATTCATCATAAACATAAAAAAAATTAATTCTGAACGCAGGTTTTTACTATAAGCTATGTTTAATGACTGAGGAATCTTATCCACTCACCCCTCCCATAGAGGCACACATCGTAGGTCCCTGAGGGTCTGAGGGGCCTCATCCTGGGATCCTGGAATATTGTCGCCAACATTATTTCTGATTTAGTTTTTTCAATTCAAGTTTTTATTGATTTTACAACCTTTAACATGAACGCTTCAACTGCAGTACTCATATATATCTTACAACCTTACATATTTTATTGCTCATAACATATTTAAAAACCAAAACTAAAGCCTGTATCTAAGATATACAGAAAAAGAAAAATACAAAATATAAAAAAAGGAAGCAAACCAAAGAAATTTTTATCAAAGTCACATTTATAATTAGTCAACATTCTGCCCCTGTCATGATTTTATCAAGAGCTCGGACCCACATGCAGATAAACCAGTCCAGAGAGAAAAGGGAAAAAGTTTAACAGGTTTATTGAGAAGTTTTGTGGAGATTCCAGTGTTGCTCTGAAAACTGCTCAACCGGAACTGAAAGGTGAGGGGAAGACACTGCGGTTAGTTCAGGTTCAGTGGGAGAATTTATTCTCGAACTTGAAGAGTAGAAAAGATTGGCAGACTCACGTTTCCAGAGATTAGGTTGACTCTTAGACTCCAGTAGGTGAGGAATGTGTTCTGGTGTTTGTCTCATATGGAGGAGGGCGGACAGGGTTACCCAGAATGCGGTTGCTTATAGATGAACGGAGAAAGACTGACTGCCACTCAGATTTCCTGCGCTATTTAAACAGACTGTTGTGCAGATGAATCCCCTGCTCAGTGTGAAGCTCAAAGGTTTCCTCGAGGAATAGTGGATCCAAACCTCCGGTTTGTTTCCTCAGCTTAATTTGAAGCTCAGTTGATCCTTCCAGGGAGAGAAGGTCCAAAAAAATCCAGTTTGCAGGATGACAAATAAACAATGTTAAGACTCAGGTTGACAAAAAGCGGTCAGCAGCTTAAGAGCACTCCGTTAACGAGGAAACCATCAGCAGGTGTGTGAGGAGGAGAATCAGAACCAGGCGCCGCCTGATGGAGGAAGGAAGACAAACACACAGACCACACAGACTGGAGTCCTAACAGCCCCCAGGATTCATTAAAAGTATTATTATTTATTATAGACATTTTTCATATGAAATTATGCAAAATATTGTCCATCTTTTGAGCTCAGGAGGAGAAGGGTCCTTCAAGACACTCACAATGACCCGTGCTGCTGTATTTAACTTTACTTTAACAACCACATTTTTACACTTTACAACCACAACCACTCGGATTTCTTTACTCCCACAGATTTATCTCCCAA